TTAAGTTCTAAGTCTAAGGAACAAGAATAAGCAAAATGTTTATATATATATATATATATATATATATATATATATATATATATATATATATATATATATATATATATATATATATATATATATATATTCGCATGTGCCTTGTAATGTGCACTAGACATCAATTTTTGGTCAAAGGAGCCAGGACCATACTGAATTTAGAAATTGAGGTTACCGAAAACATCTTTATAGTGAGAATGAGTTGTATGCCATGACAGGAAGATGGCTGCTGTGATTAAAATGAGTAAAATATAAATTAAAAATGGTCAAGTAACCTATGCTAGACCACTTGAGATGCAGTAACCCGTTAAAAATATTCCTACAAGCATTAATCTAGCTTTTTAGAAGCAACATTTTGATCTTTTTCTTCTTTTATATGGATTTATTCATTACCTATATAGCTTCTTCCCAATGCCATATTACTAAGAAAGATATCTCAATACAAGATATAAAAATATACTTTTGTTAGCTTGATGTAGCATTCCATTAATCACAATGATAAATTGATCTTCAAGATAGAAAAATTTAAGATTCTTATTTATATTTAATCTCAAAAGTCTGCTTTTATTTCACCTTTTTCATTTTTAAATTTTTTTTTATTTATTTTGTCTCAGAAAAAACATGGGAGGCATTACAGAGGATTAAACATTTCAGCATGGACTAATAAGATACAGATTTGCATAAATAAAATACATAGAGGAACATGTGCAAGGCAATAGACACCAGATAGGGTATGCCTGTATCACTCTTGGTACAAGCACTTCACTAGTTGGGCAGTGTTCCGGTATCCCCGGGTAAGGGTACTGTATATAGTCTAGGTCGCTAGTGATGCTTTTACAGAAGCAGATTTCAGGGTGCAAGCGATATACCTTACGATGTATATAGTCACACCAAGATAGAAGGTACGTAGTATTTCGTTCACTGTTTTCAAGGATTTCTGAATGCTGAAATAATCCCAGAAGATGGGGTGAGAGAGAGTAGAGGAGTAGGTGAGAGAAATAAAGAAGGGAGTATAAAGAGGGGGGAGGAGGGAAGTTCCCGGTTGGCGCCTACTTGTGGGACAACAATTAGCCTTCCAGGCAGGGGGCAGAGGGGAGAGTTGTGTCTCCCCTCAGGTGTTCACATATATTCCACCAAGGTTCCCACACTCTGGTGAAGGTCTTCAGGGACCCTCGTACTTGGGCTGTTAGTTTATCTATGAGATATTGTTCTTTAAATTTAAGAATGACAGTGTTCGTGGAAGGTGTAGTGAATTTCAGCCAGTCCTCACCTGGCTTTTGTTAAAGAGTTGTTGTTCGGCTCTGGTCCAATTGTCCAGTGGCTTAGCGAGCAGGAAAACCGATGGGTTCAGATCGGTCTGTTTAGGGATAATTTAGGAGATGAGAGCATTGACTTCTCTCCATAATTTTGAGACTTTTAGGCAGCTACAACCACGTGTGTATAAGTTCCACTGTACCTGCAGTTTCTCCAACAGAGATCCGTGAGGGTCTTTTTCATGTGATATAATTTCACAGGAGTGGTATACCATCTGAACATTAGTTTGCAAGATTGTTCTTGCATAGTGACACAGATGGAGGTTTTACAGTTTGCTTCCCAGATATCCTGTCAGTCAACCCCTTCTAAGGTTTTGCCTAATTCGGATTCCCACTTATCTATGTATGGTAGGTCTCCCCATTCTTTGGCATTGGAGCAAAGGTGGGAGTATAGCCGAGTGATCATGGCTTTTTGGTAGGTTTCGACGTTACATATGCGTTCGAAGAATGTCAGTTGTGTGCTGCAGTTTTGATGGCTGGTTTGGCTACAAAATCACAAATTTGAAGGCATCTAAAGAAATAATATGGTGTCAGGGTGGTCCTACTTTGCAGTTCAGCAAAGGGAATTATGGTGCCACCGTTGTACAGATGATTTACCAGCTGCAGTCCGGCATTTCCCATGCCCCGAAAGTCTCTGGCCCTCATGCCCGGAGTAAAAGCCCTGTTTCGATATATGGAAGTAAGTGGTAAAGAGGAGGATATCAGCCTGAATTTACGTACCGTTTTATCCCATAATTGGATGAAGTTAGTTACTGATAGACAATCTGTTTACAGGTTTGCTCTTTTGTCTCTGGGGTCCATATGGAGAATTGTGGGAGGTCTGATCCCATCAAAAGGGATTCCAAATCTACCCAACATCAGAGAGCTATTTGCAACAGTTGGGCTGCTAAGTAGAAAAAGTGTAGATGGGGTGATCCTAGTCCCCCTCTGATTTTGGGTCTATAGAGGGTGTTACAAGAGACTCTGTGTCTGTTGTCATGCCATATGTAGCGGCCTATTGCTTTCCGAAGGGGGGGGGGCAGGTCGTGTTACGTTATAGGGAGAGGTAGGGCTTGAAAGAGGAATAGTATACGAGGGAGAATGTTCATCTTTATGGAGTGAATTCTGCCCATCCAGGATATGGGTTTGTCTGCCCAGTTCTCCATGTCAGTGATCAAAGTGTAAATCATGGGTGTGTAGTTCAATTGTATATAGTCACACCAAGATAGAAGGTACGTAGTATTTCGTTCACTGTTTTCAAGGATTTCTGAATGCTGAAATAATCCCAGAAGATGGGGTGAGAGAGAGTAGAGGAGTAGGTGAGAGAAATAAAGAAGGGAGTATAAAGAGGGGGGAGGAGGGAAGTTCCCGGTTGGCGCCTACTTGTGGGACAACAATTAGCCTTCCAGGCAGGGGGCAGAGGGGAGAGTTGTGTCTCCCCTCAGGTGTTCACATATATTCCACCAAGGTTCCCACACTCTGGTGAAGGTCTTCAGGGACCCTCGTACTTGGGCTGTTAGTTTATCTATGAGATATTGTTCTTTAAATTTAAGAATGACAGTGTTCGTGGAAGGTGTAGTGAATTTCAGCCAGTCCTCACCTGGCTTTTGTTAAAGAGTTGTTGTTCGGCTCTGGTCCAATTGTCCAGTGGCTTAGCGAGCAGGAAAACCGATGGGTTCAGATCGGTCTGTTTAGGGATAATTTAGGAGATGAGAGCATTGACTTCTCTCCATAATTTTGAGACTTTTAGGCAGCTACAACCACGTGTGTATAAGTTCCACTGTACCTGCAGTTTCTCCAACAGAGATCCGTGGGGGTCTTTTTCATGTGATATAATTTCACAGGAGTGGTATACCATCTGAACATTAGTTTGCAAGATTGTTCTTGCATAGTGACACAGATGGAGGTTTTACAGTTTGCTTCCCAGATATCCTGTCAGTCAACCCCTTCTAAGGTTTTGCCTAATTCGGATTCCCACTTATCTATGTATGGTAGGTCTCCCCATTCTTTGGCATTGGAGCAAAGGTGGGAGTATAGCCGAGTGATCATGGCTTTTTGGTAGGTTTCGACGTTACATATGCGTTCGAAGAATGTCAGTTGTGTGCTGCAGTTTTGATGGCTGGTTTGGCTACAAAATCACAAATTTGAAGGCATCTAAAGAAATAATATGGTGTCAGGGTGGTCCTACTTTGCAGTTCAGCAAAGGGAATTATGGTGCCACCGTTGTACAGATGATTTACCAGCTGCAGTCCGGCATTTCCCATGCCCCGAAAGTCTCTGGCCCTCATGCCCGGAGTAAAAGCCCTGTTTCGATATATGGAAGTAAGTGGTAAAGAGGAGGATATCAGCCTGAATTTACGTACCGTTTTATCCCATAATTGGATGAAGTTAGTTACTGATAGACAATCTGTTTACAGGTTTGCTCTTTTGTCTCTGGGGTCCATATGGAGAATTGTGGGAGGTCTGATCCCATCAAAAGGGATTCCAAATCTACCCAACATCAGAGAGCTATTTGCAACAGTTGGGCTGCTAAGTAGAAAAAGTGTAGATGGGGTGATCCTAGTCCCCCTCTGATTTTGGGTCTATAGAGGGTGTTACAAGAGACTCTGTGTCTGTTGTCATGCCATATGTAGCGGCCTATTGCTTTCCGAAGGGGGGGGGGCAGGTCGTGTTACGTTATAGGGAGAGGTAGGGCTTGAAAGAGGAATAGTATACGAGGGAGAATGTTCATCTTTATGGAGTGAATTCTGCCCATCCAGGATATGGGTTTGTCTGCCCAGTTCTCCATGTCAGTGATCAAAGTGTAAATCATGGGTGTGTAGTTCAATTGATGCAGTTGAGTAGGATCTGCCGGAAGTTTGATGCCGAGGTACTTAATAGAAGTGAATGAAGTTTGAATATGATAGGAGCCTTCAATGTGTGCTCTGTCAGCTGCCGATAGCGTTATGGGGAGACCGCTAGATTTATTTATATTTACTTTGTAGCCTGAGATAGTACTGAAAGAGGCGAGGAAAAGGATCAATGCCTCCATCGATGCTACTGGACTGGTTAATGTGAGGAGTACATCATTTGAGTACCCCGATACCACCTCTGGTCGCTCCTTGTATATGAGGGTGTTCACAAATCACCTGCAGGAGGGGTTCTAGTGTCAAGACGAATAGTAAGGGGGACAAGGGGCAGCCCTGTTGGGTGCCGTTTCCTAGAGAAAAAGGTTGTGCGGGGGCGCCAGCAATATTTATTTGTGCTGTAACGTTGGTGTAAAGGGCCCATACCGCCGTAATGAAGGGGGTGGGAATCCCAGATCTCTTAGGAATTTGAACATGTAGGGCCATTTGACATGATCAAATGCTTTATCCGCTTCGAGGGATAGTTTGTGAAGATGCTAACTTCTAAATAACACCTTTGTTATTACCTACCTCGAAAAACTGCCTTCCCAATATAAACCCTACCTGGTCAGCGTGGATTAAGTGGGTCAGAAAAGGATTTAATCCCTCTGCAGATATTTTGGCCAGGATTTTGCCATCGTGGTTGATTAGAAAAATAGGCCCATATGCCTACGGCATAGTGGTATCTTTGCCTGGTTTGGGTAGTAGGATGATATTAGCTCTTGTCATGTCTCTGTAATGTAAGTTTCCGGCCATTATATAGTGAAAGAGGGATTGTAGTGTGGGATCAGTTCTTCATGTAGTATCCTCTTTCAAAATCATCAGGGACCGGGGCTTTCCCCCGCTTTAGCGCCGAGATGGTCAGATTGATGTCCTCTTGGGAGATTGGGGCCCCTAGTGCCTCTATGGCTTTTGTGTATAGCTTGGGAAGTGTATAATTAGAAAGAAATTTGTTTATCTTGGGAAATTGTGTGTCATTCGAGGTACCGTATGTAGGGGAGTGGTTATATAGGGTCTTATAAAAGGCCATGAAGACTTGGGCTATATCATTTGGGGATGTGCGTATTGTGCCATCTGGCACTTTAATGGACGTAATGTGAGGATGTCTGGGTCTCGGCTTCATGGTGCGGGCCAGCATGGTGTCCATTTTTTTTTTTTGGGACAATCTTTATTTGTTTTTTTGTTTTCCAGGAAAGAAATAGTATAGAATAAAAAGTAAGCAGTATAGCTGTTACATTTGTGCTATATATTAAACCATTGCATAATGGGAATGTGGTATTAGGTAGAGGAACTTGCCTACGGGATACTAGGCACAAGTCTTCATCGATTCTCAGTTAAGAAGCAGTACAAAATAGAATATAAGCAATATAGCTTTGGCGTTTGTGTTATACATTAAGCAATTGTATATCGGAGATATCATATTGCTTTGAGGGTCTGGCATACGAGACACTTGGGACTAGACATTATGTCGGGAACCCCTGCATAGGCACCAGCCATCATACTTTTTCAGTTAAGAAGTAGTACAGAATAGAATATAAGCAATATAGCTGTTACATTTGTGTTATACATTAGGCTATTGTATATCGGAGATGTCATATAACTTAGAGGAACTTGCATACGAGACACTTGGGACTAGATATCATGTCGGGAACCCCTGCATAGGCTACCACAACTGTGCCACTGCTCGGCTGTACTGCGGATGTGTGGCGTTACCAGTGGTGGTTCAGAGTGGCGTAACCCATTAGTTTGGTCGTTTAACCCATAACACAGATAAGAGGTAAGCTAGTTGGTGTTTACCGTAGTGGTGGTGCTTGTCAATGTGGGTGTCTGTGTCTATGTGGGGATCCCGTTCCCTCCTTGTGGTCTATGAAGTCGCAGGCGTGTTGCGCTTCTGAGAGAAGCTAGAAGAGGAGAGAGAAAAGGGGAGTTGGAGTAGACACAAAAAAGAAAAAAGTGAAAGTGGGATAAGGTGAGAGGATAAAAATAAAGAGGGGGAGGGGGGCACGTGTAGTGTGGAACTGCTGGTGTAAGTGTATAGAAGACCGCCACGTCCCCCTGCGCCATTCCCCCCCAGTCCCATTACCCTGAGTTATCGAAAGCCAAACTCCTTAGTCTGTCTTGTACAGAGACTGGGCTTCTCACACTCCTGCCTGGATTCCCGAGATGTAGGTTAGCCAAGGCATCCAAGTTTGGACACACTACTCCGTGTGTCCCCACAAGACCGCCATCAGTGATTCCATGCTGTGGATCTCCTCTACTCTAGTTACCCATTGCTGTTAGGTGGGTGCACTAGCCTGTTTACAGAGTACCAGGATCAGGGATTTCGCTCCGGTTAATAAGGGGAGGGTCAAAGACTTTTTGTATGTTTTCAGTGGTACTGTGGTGTGATGCAGTAACATAGTCAGGGGTTGGAATGGTAATGTAGTGTCCGTGATGTCCTGGATCTTGGCGTGTACCATCTTCCAGAAGGAAACGATTCCCTAGGGATTTCCGTGTGCATTCGATTCAGCACGTCTGGGGTTTTGTACCAGAATGTTAGTAATTTGCAGCTGAGCTCTTGAAACTTGGAGCTGATTGAACCTTTGTGTGTGAGGGTAAAGATTTTATCCCAGTCCTGTTGCGTGAGTGCGACTCCCGTCTCCTTTTCCCATCTACTTGTGAACTCAAGTGGAGCGTCGCAGTCGTCCATCAGTAGCATCGTATACATGTAAGTGGCGGGGCTGGTAATTCACCATGGACGGGAGTCCGGTACCACCAGCCTGCTTGGGTCTTCTAGAAGCGTTCCTCAGAGTCGGGTGGGGGCTTGGTTCCACACGAACCGCCTTATTGCCGATGGAATTAAAAAATGCTTGCGGGAATGTAATGGGTATGGTCTGAAACAAGTACAGAATGCGGGGTAAAATATTCATCCAAACCGCATTTATGCAGTCGAACCAGGAGATGTATTGGGGGGTCCAATGTTGCATGTCTGCTTGCAGAGTAGAGAGTAACAGGAGGACATTGAGCTGATACAACCTGTTCAGGACCCGCGTTAGCCAGATGCCCAGATATCGTAATTTATCTGTGCACCAAGTTAAGGAGTATTGTGCGTGGAGGTGAGCTATGGATTCGGGTTCCCGTGACAGGTGTAGTGGTTCCAACTTATCCATATTCAGTTTTAAGTTTGAAAGTATCCTGAATCGCCTAAAGGACTCTAGTATGTTGGGCAGTGAGACCATAGGTTGTTCTAGGAAAAAGACCATATCGTCTGCATATGCTGCCACACGGTGTTCCCTTCGACCCATGGTGAACCCACAACAGTTAAAGAAAATTAATGTAATTAAGATCCGGGGCCTGATGGTATTCACCCTGTAATGGCCACCCTGAGTCTCAGAGGGTCCTTTTCCCTTGAGAGGAGCTGTGCTGCAGTATCCTCCAGATGTCATCTCAGCCGAACCAGTAGTTGAAGGTGTAATAGAGCTCTTACAAGAGCTATTGATTAGTTGTGAAGCAGGTTCCCTACAAGCATAAGACAAGGCTAAGTCTTGAGGGTTAAGCAGATCTGAAGCTTTAATGGGCCAGGCTGGCCTTTTATGCAACTTTCCCACAGGGAAATACAGTAAACAGCCAATAAACATACAGTCACATAATGAAACACTCCCATTCATTATACAAAATTCCTCCCCTCTGCTTGGGGACTGTATCAACTCAATATTCTCCAAACAAAAATTATATTTTCTGATAGTCCATAGTTAGGGGAACAACATATCGAAAAATCATACAAATCGGTTCAGGGGTTCGGGAGATAGATGGAAGTCCCATTTCTGCCTGGCCGCATGCAAGGCTCCTGCCCAAAATAGTTCCATGCATTCAGCTGGTGCGGCCGGTCTCTTTCGTGCATTACAAAATGTCGAACAACAGTTCACATAATCGTTTGTGCGTTTGATGGTCGTGTGCCGCCTTATTCGTATATCGTTTCTACCGAATGCCGCCTTCTTCGGATGGATTATCATGAATCTAAGTGGTCCTGGAAGTCTCAGCGGTGTTCGGGAGATCGAGTGTCCGAAAATAGTTCCAGACACTCGACGACTCGTTTGACAAAACAAGATGGCCGCCGCCACGTGTTCGTGCATGCAAATCAATGGCCACCCAGTGAACCACTTAGAACGTTGAAGTTGCGGTTTGGCACAGAGTCCTTTTTTTTCCTTCAGACTTGCACCAGCCCTTTGTGCATGGAGTACACTTAAATCAGTCTTTGGGCATGGTAAACTGTCATTATCAAAGTGTCTCTTCTTTTCTTTCCCCCCTTTTCTTTTCCTATTTTTTCTTTTATATCTTATGCTATTATGTCCCCCCCCACCTCCCTGAATCCCTCCTTGTCAAACTTCTCGTCCTTGGTTTTTTGTTTTTTTCCCCAAAAATTCTCTGGTATTGTAAGAGCCTATTCATATTTTTAATCTACGTATCCTTTTAAAAAAAAAATTATTATCAGCCCGGTTCAGGGAATCACTTTCTTATATGTTACTTTATTAGGTATTCCCGGATCTTGTGGGATCCTTCAGCATACTTATCCAAGTATCCCAAGCCTCTATTTGGGTATATCTATTGCCTACGTTTGCCAATATTCCTCTTTCAAATCTTGCTTGCCAGACCACTTGCTTTGTCACTTCATCTATGTTTGGAATTCTTTCTGTTTTCCACTCTCTTGCAAGAAGTAACTTAGTCGCCGTAACTATGTGTAGTATTATCAATAATGTTTTCTGGGTCATTGTGGGCCAGTGTATGTTTAGCAAAATCACTTCTGGCTTACAAGGCATTTTAATTCCTGTTAATTGCTGAATTAACTTAATTATTTCTTTCCAAAATTTTTGACAGGCGAGCAATGCCACCAGACGTGTACCAAGTTCCCTTCAGTGGTTTTACATTTCCAGCATTCACCCAATGTTGTGGGAAAGATCTTCTTCAGATGTTGGGGTGTTAGATACCATCTATTTGATAACTTAAACTGGGTCTCAATTATGTTTAAACAATGAATATTCTTATTCAATTTATTTAAGGAATTTTTCCATTGATGTACTTCTATATTCGATTGTAGATCTTTTTACCATTTCTTGATCACTTCTATTGTTTTATCATGTCTCCAGCTATATATAATTTTTGCACATTTAGTCATTAGGTTTTTATAATTCTTTAGTTCAAATAAATGTATAAGGTTGCTAGTGCCCTCTTCATTGCTTTTATATACATGTTTTATTACAAAGCTTTTAATTTGTAAATAGTTAAACCTTTGGTAATAGGAGATATTAAATCCAGTCACGATTTGGGAAAATTATTTCAATTTACATTCTGCCATGATATCTCCATAATCCCCCACCCCTTTCTCAGACCATGAATCTATTCTTAGATTTTCCAACATATCTTCAATAGTTGTAAAAGGGAGGGCAGTTATTATTTTATTTCCAAGGCCTTTCTTACTTGTAAATTTGCTCCACCATCTTGTCAGTTCTTCGAGTATCCGGGATTTGCTGGACGCCTCTCTCAAGCTATTTCTGTTTGTATTAACCGTCCAGAATAGTGAGGCTGAATTCCTTACACCGGTCTTTGCTAGTTCCATCTTACACCAATTTTCTTTGATAGCCGCTCTGTTCTGTGTAAGCATTATATGGAACAGTCTGCTGGCCTGGTAGCACTGGAAGACTTCTGGGCATCCCAGCCGTCCGTCCTGCTTTGCTCTAGCCAGTAATTTCATCTTTACTCTTGGTTTCTTATCACTCCAGGTAAATTTAATGAAGGATAAAAAATAGAGGAGAAAGAGTCTGCGCTTAATAACGGGGGAGCTGCAGCCCACGAAAGGAATCCCTCAGAAACCCTTTAGAATAGACAAATAGAAAAAGTGGGTTTGGGGCTACGCTGTTGGATAATCCACTAAAAATCAATACATTTAAATATAAAACATATGTATATAAGTGCTAAAAAACTGTTAAAAGTAACGTCCGTACAAATTTTTTAATAAAAATAGAACAAAAGTAGAGAAAATCCAAATGGTATAAAATGAAGTAAAAACAGTCTCACTGATATCAGGTATGATTATGGTCCTCGGGGATGATTTCGTCCGGGTTAGAAATCGTCCGTTTATGTGAAAATAAGAAACACAAAAAGAACTGCCGATAGTGAAGTATTGTAGATCCAAGGATAAAAATTAAATCAGAATCAGGATTTGGAACTCACATTTGATGGAGCTAAGTCCAGCTCTGAGATGGAGGGCACTTAGTGGTATAATCCCCACTTCAGGATATACTCTTGTGTGAGAGACGCTTGATAGTATGTTCCCCACTGGTAGGTATGCTGGAGGGATAGGTCCGTATGTTCGGCTGGGTTCCGTCGGATTCCACAGAACGTATAAAACAGTAATAGTGCTCTCAGTAAGAACAAAATGAGGTAAGTAAATTAAAATAAGATATACTTACAAAAAGAGAGCAGATGGATACTGCTCTATTATCACAGCGTGGGTGGAATTATGCCCACCTAAGGATTTCTTTAAGACAGGATACAATAAAAAATGGTGAAAAATATTTTTAAAAGGTTAAATAAAAAAAATTTAAAAAATTATAAAATGCCAGGAAAAGTACTAGAAAAAAAGTGTATATAAGTACAATAAAATGAGTAAAAGATTGGTCCTACAAAAGAGGTAACCAAAAATAACTTTTATTGCTTTAAAATACACTATTTAAAACCATTAACGCGTTTCACCTATGAGGTTTTTTCAAAATGGTAATAGAACAATATACCTGGCATAAAACAGTATTTATAAGGATACACAGAGTTTGAATTTGGCGCGAAATTTTTTTTGCACCAATTAGAAACAAGAATTAAAACAAATTTATTTTACAGGTTCAAAACAGATAAAAAACTACTTTGATACATAAAATTAGCTTTCATAAAGTATAAAATATATTTCTTTGTATAAAATGAAGCACTGTTAGCTTGTTTATTTATTAACTTTAATGATCACATGATCAGGACTTATAAAATTGCCGTGCGCATGCGCAAATTGAGATCGCCATGCGCATGCGCACTCGGAGGTTGCCGTGCGCATGCGCAATCGGAAGTCGCCGTGCGCATGCGCAGGACATAGGCAGATCGAGCCGCTGCAATATAGAACTTTGATACCGGCAATGTAGTTAGGTGGATCCTTCGGCCGCAATAAGTAATATGTGACCGGCAAAAAGGAGCAATGCTCCCTGGGTAGTGTAGTTTTGTCGGTCACTATATGTAGAGAGGAACATGGGAGCAAGCTGGGCAGGGAAAGTGCTGTAATCAGCTGCTCTCATTTAAAAGGAATATTTATGTATATGAAGGATCACCTTTTACTGTACAAGTAATAAAAAACAGAGATAAGTATACAGGATAAGGCATATTTAAACATGAATTAGAACCAAATATAATAAGATACATATTTAAAACATGGTTATAGGAAATGAAAAATAAATATAAGTATAATAAGAAAAAGTTTTTTTTTTTTTTTTAAACATAAGTAAAACAATGACAGATGAGAACAGGTAATATTTTATATTAGAAAATATTCTTTTATAGAAAATTATGCAAATCAAAGTCTGCATTGAGGCCTTGGGGTGTAAGGGTCTGTAATCTATAGACCCATTCCATTTCTGTTTTTCCTAAAATGTTTTTTATGTCTCCTCCTCTCCAGGGTAGCGAACATTTTTTTATACCAATAAATTTTAACATTTTCGGATCTTTATTATGGATTAAGAAATGTTTTGATACTGAGTGGTTTAAGTATCCGTTTCTTATATTCCTGCAATGTTCACTAAGTCTGGTTTTTAGACATCTAGTGGTCATCCCCACATATTGGAGGCCGCAAGGGCATTCCAAGAGATAAATTACATTTTTTATATTACAGTTTATAAATTCCTTTATCTTAAAAGTAGTTTTTGTTCTATATGAGGTGAATTCTGTCATTTTTGATGGCATTGTCAAATCAGCGGTTCTACATACAATGCAATTTTTACATTTATAGAAACCTACGGATTGAGGAAAAAAAGACAATTAATTTTTTGGTGGGATTGATTTAGTGAAATTGGTGGTTAAAATTGATTTAAAATTGGAGGCTCCCCTGAAGATTATACTTGGCTTTTCTGGGATAATTTTACAGAGTTTCTCATCATGTTCTAAAATATGCCAATGTTTTTTAATAATCTTTTTTATTTCCCTGCTTTTACTGTTATAATTAAAAGTGATGGGGAGAGAAATAGAATCATTTTTTATTTTGTGTTTATATGTTAATAGTTCGTCCCTATTTTTATTTTTTATCTCATTAATATTTTCTAATAGATCTGATTCTGAATAATTTTTTTCCATAAATTTATTTTTTAGGACATCAGCTTGTTCATTAGAATTTTCTAATTCTGTACAGTTTCTCCGTAGTCTTAAAAATTGGCTTTTTGGAGCACTGTCGAGCCATGGTTTGTAGTGGCAGCTGTTCTTGTCAATTACTGTGTTAACACAAACTTTAAAAAAAAAAAAAAAAGTTTTAGTATGAATTTGTTCATTTTTAATAAAAATGCTAGATCTAAAAAATTTATTTGTTCTCTACTAAATTCATGAGTTAAAATTATGCCTCTATTATTAGTATTAAGAACATTGATAAAAGAAATAAGACTGTCTTCGGGTCCATCCTATATAAAAAAGAGGTCATCTATATACCTAAAATATGAGACTAGGTTTGCCCCTAAATTGTCTCCGTTGTAGATGGCTGTAGATTCCCAATCTGCCATGAATAAATTGGCATAGCTTGGGGCAAACCTAGTACCCATAGCAGTTCATCTTTTCTGGAGGTAAAAAGAATTTAAAAAACAAAAATAATTGTTTTTTAAAATGATGTTAATACCCTCTAAGATAAAATCAATTTGTTTTTCGGAAATTCTATTTTCTTTAATTAAAATATTTTTAATGGCTTCACATCCAATATTGTGAGGTATAATGGTATAAAGGGATTGGACATCACAGGTAACCAAAATAAAATTGGGATTCCATTTAAAATGATTTAAAAAGTTTAAAAGAGACATAGAGTCCTGGAGATACGACTTCATTTTTTTAATGAGAATGGAGAAGAGTGTCAATGTATTGTGAGAGGTTGCAGAGAAGCGAGCCTATGCCTGACACTATTGGTCTGCCGGGAGGATTTGTTACATTTTTATGTATTTTAGGTAAGAAATAAACCACCGGGATTTTGGGGAATTTTTTATCTAAAAAATTAAATTCCTGTTTTGTTAAAATACCTTGAGATACACCTTTGTTTAAAAAGACAGATAAAATATTTTGGATAGTATTAGTTGGATCTGATAGGAGTTTGTCATAGACATCTGTGTCATTTAGCTGTCTGTGTGCTTCTTCGATATACATGACACTAGATAAGATGACTAAATCCTTAGGTGGGGATAATTCCACCCACGCTGTGATAATAGAGCAGTATCCATCTGCTCTCTTTTTGTAAGTATATCTTATTTTAATTTACTTACCTCATTTTGTTCTTACTGAGAGCACTACTGTTTTATATGTTCTGTGGAATCCGACGGAACCCAGCCGAACATCCGGACCTATCCCTCCAGCATACCTACCAGTGGGGAACATACTATCAAGCATCTCTCACACAAGAGCCTGTCAAAACTACAGCAAAGAAATACATAAGTGGGGATAATTCCACCAGCGCTGTATTTCCTGCTCTATTTTTGTGAGTATTATTTCATTTATTTTATTTTATTTCTAATTGTTCCTACTGAGAGCACTATTTGCTGTTTCCTATATCCTGTGGGATTTGACGGAACCCAAGTCGGACGGATGGATCAACCATCCCAGTATATCCTGAAGTGGGGATTATACCACTAAGTGCCCTCCATCTCAGTGCTGGACTTAGCTCCATCAAATGTGAGGTCCAAATCCTGATTCTGATTTAATTTTTATCCTTGGATCTACAATACTTCACTATCGGCAGTTCTTTTTGTGTTTCTTATTTTCACATAAACGGACGATTTCTAGCCCGGACGAAATCATCCCCGAGGACCATAATCATACCTGATATCAGTGAGACTGTTTTTACTTCATTTTATTCCATTTGGATTTTCTCTACTTTTTATCTATTTTTATTAAAAAATTTGTACGGACATTACTTTTAACAGTTTTTTTTAGCACTTATATACATATGTTTTATATTTAAATTTATTGATTTTTCAGTGGATTATCCAACAGCGCAGCCCCAAACCCCCTTTTTAAATTTAACGAAGGACCTATGCAGTAACGACAACCAGTTTTCTGGACACTTCATTGGAATCATTCTCCAAATATATAGCCACTTTGGTAGGACAAATGATTTTAATATGTTAATCCTTCCTGACCATGAGAATGCCAAATTTTTCCAGTCTTTCAATTTTTTGTTTGTGTCTTTCAGCAATGGAACGAGTACTCAAGGAGCTAAGTGGGAAAATAAGTGAACCTCTGTATTTAATCTTTCAAGATTATTTTGTTTCAGGTATTGTACCAGAGGATTGAAGGAAGGGAGATGTCGTTCCTATATTTAAAAAGAGTTCAAAATCCTTGCCTGGAAATTATAGACCTGTGAGCTTAACTTCTGTGACTGGGAAAATATTTGAAGGGCTATTAAGGGATAATAATCAGGAATTCATTGGGAAGAGCTTTGTTATTAGAAAAAATCAGCATGGTTTTATGAAACATAGGTCATGTCAAACTAACCTAATTGCATTCTAAGAAGAAGTAAGTAGAAGTATAGATCAGGGTGTTGCAGTGGATGTGATCTACTTGAATTTTGCCAAGGCATTTGATACGGTTCCTCACAATAGGTTAGTCTTCAAACTAAAAGAAATTGGTCTAGATGAATATTCTTGTTCTTGGGTAGAACATTGGCTTAAGGATAGAGTACAACGAGTTGTCATTAATGGTAAATTTTCAGGCTGGATAAAAGTGGTAAGTTGTGTCCCTCAGGGTTCTAATTTGGGACCGCTTCTATTTAACATATTTATAAATGATCGGGATTGAAAGCCATGTTTCAGTGTTTGCAGATGACACAAAACTTTGTAAAGTAATAAAATGTGAGTAGGATATTGCTTTGCTGCAGAGGGATTTAGATAGACTGGGGGACTGGGCACTAAAATAGCAGATGAAATTTGTAGAGAAATGCAAAGTTATGCACTTCGGGGTCAAGAATGCACATGCAACTTACACCCTAAATTGTAGTGAATTAGGGATAACCACACACCAGAAGAATTTGGGAATTGTTTAGGCAATAAATTAGGCAGCAATACGCAATGTCAATCTGCAGTTGCTAAGACCGATAAGTTTTTCTCATGTATAAATAGGAGCATAAATTCTCGGGATGAACATATAATTTTGCCTCTTTATAAATCGCTGGTAACACAACACTTTGAATATGCTGTGCAATTTTGGGCACCTGTTCTAAAGAAGGATATCATGGCACTAGAAAAAGCGCAGAGACGAGCTACAAAACTGATCAAAAGTAATGAAGCATTTTAATTACGAAAAAAGGTAAAAAAAAATTTAATCTCTTTAGTTTGGAAAAAACAGCACCTCAGAGGGGATATAATAACATTATATAAATATATTCGGGGACGGTACAAACCATTATCTGGAAATCTATTTTTAAACAGGGCTATACATAGGACACAAGGACACACATTTAGGCTGGAAGAAAGGAGATTTCATCTAAGACAAAGAAAAGGTTTTTTTACAGTAAGAGCAATAAGAATATGGAATTCTCTGCCTGAAGAGGTGGTTTTATCAGAGTCCATACAGATGTTTAAACAGCAATTGGATAAATACTTGCAAAAACATAACATACAGGGATATAATATCTAATTAGTGGGGTAATATCTGCTTGGTCCAAGTCAAGAAGGAATTTTTTCCTAGTTTGTTGCAAAATTGGAAGCGCTTCAGACTGGGTTTTTTGCCTTGTTTTGGATCAACAGCAAAGCATATGTGAGGAAGGCTGAACTTGATGGACGCAAGTCTCTTTTTAGCTATGTAACAATGTAACCCCGTGATACCCCCATCCTGTCTGACCGCCTCCAGAAATGGTTCTAGAAGGAAGGCAGTCAGAGGGGTGACTGGGGACAGCCCTGCCGCGTACCATTTCAAATCAGAAATGTGGATGTCAGCGCGCCGTTAACTCGTATACGGGCTGTTGGGGTAGTATATAACGACTGCCCCCAAACTCGCATATTCGGCCGAAGTTCATCTGCTGGAGCGTGGAGGTTATGAAAAGCCAGTCCACCTGGTCGAACGCTTTCTCTGCATCAGTGGACAGCAGCACCACCTCCCTCCTAGATGACCGGGCCGCATGGATGATGTTAAGGGCTCTAATGGTGTTATCGCGACCCTCTCTGCCTGGGATAAAGCCCACCTGGTCTGAGTGGATCAGACCGGGGAGGACCCTCGAGAGCTGCAGGGCCATTGCTTTCACGTATAATTTGGGGTCCGCATTCAAGAGTGACATAGGTCAGTAACTAGTGCAGTTGGATGGGTCTTTGCCGTCTTTGGGGATGACTGTCACTATGGCGGCCAATGAGTCTGTTGGGAATTGTCCATCTTTATGGATAGAGTTTATTCCCTTCAAAAGCTGAGGGAGGAGGATGTCTTGAAACGTGTGTAAGTATACCAGGGGGAGGCCGTCCGGCCCTGAGGCCCAGTCGGTTTTAGAGAGCTTTAGTGCTCTTCTATAGTCAGTGGCTGGTCTAATTCGTCTGCCGCCTAAATCGACGGTCTCGTTGAGACGTTCTGGTGCAGGATGTTGGAGGCCATGCGCCGTCGCTGATGGGTGAAGTCTCCATTTTCCTGGACAAATTTCTGATCTACCACCTTGTTTTCTGTTCCCTGGAAATACTGCTTTTAGACCCAGAAGATTGGTTTGGGCCAATGTCATATTTGGAGACAATTCTTCTAGCAGGAGTCTGCTGCGGGTGCCCCCTTGGTAGTTTACATAAGAAGCTACAGCCCTGTTGTCTGTCTTTTCAAGGACCCATGATTTTGTGATAAAAGGAAAGAAACTCAGAATTGCCTGCAATTCCCTCAGGTTGAAATGTAGGCGACTCTCTTTGAGTTTCCACTTCCCTTGTTTCCATAGGGAATCGAAGTGGGCACCCCATCCATACGAACTTGCGTCTGTCGTTATGGTTTGCCTAGGTGGTTCTTCCAGAGGGAATCATTAGCTTAAGTTTCTATCTTCTTTCCACCATCTGTTGCTTCACCCGAGGAGATATATAAACTCTCTGTTCCCAGTCTGCATTTTCTTTGCTGAGCTGATGAAGAAAACAGTTCTGGATTGGTCTGAATCTCCACTGGGCCCACTTCAGCAGACCTATTGTAGAGGTCACTGAGCCAATCAAGCTCATAAGATCTCTTGCTGAAATTAGATTGATCCGTAACATTTTTCTGACTTTGTCTTGTATCTTGGTAATTCTTTCTGGAGATAAGTTGACTTGAGCCTTTGAGGTATCTATCACAGCCCCTAGAAAAATAATTATTTGGGAAGGCGTAAGCCCCCTCTTTTCTGTATTTATCAGCAATCCGTGGTCTTGTAATATGCTAATGACAGATTGAGTGTGATGAGCAACTGTCTGACAAGATGGACCCACTATCAGAATATTGTCTAGATAGTGGAAAATTAGAATGCTTTGTTTTCTTAAGAATGCTATCAAGGTGATGAGAGTTTTGGTGAATGTTCTCGGGGCTAGACTCAGGCCTAAAAGAAGGCCCTTGAACTGGAAGTGCTTTCCCAGCACCCAAAATCTTAGAAATTTGAGGTGGTTCTGATGGACGGGTATCTGATAGTACGTGTCTTTTAATTTGATTGACGCCATCCACTCCTTCCTTTATTTTTTCGGGTAGAAATGGATTCCATCTTGAAAGTTCTTTTCTTCAGCATGGAACTTTTTTAGATCTAAGATCATTCTCCTTCTTTTGGAACTTCCTCTATAACCCCTTGGATTAGGAGTTTGTGGATGCATTCTTTCATTGCTTGTTCTTTTTTGCCTTTTGATACTCTTGATCTTATGAAGATATTTTTTCTTGGAAATGTCTTTTCTTGGAAATGTGTCTGCGATGTTTAGGGTCCAGATAAGATAGAACTTCCGAAGTCTCCCTCCAATCTGCCCTATCTGAACCTGCCGACCTTCAGAAGTTCTTATTTGAAGGCCTGGGTCCTTTGCCTCTTGTGTTTTTGGCAGAAGATGTCTGCTAATAACACCTTTAGTTTGAATTTCTAGAATATTCTCTCCCTGATCTGAAGGCTCTGATCTCCCGAAAGGACAGATCCTCATACCTCTTATTCCTCCAGGAGGAAGAGGATGGTTTCCTTCTCTCCTGAGGTAGGAAGGCTTTTTTGCCATTGGCTGCCTTCTGTATAGTCTCATCCAAAACTTTGCCAAATAATAAATCCCCTTGGTACGGGAGACCACAAAGTGAGGCCTTGGAGGCGTAGTCTGCACCCCATGAGTGAAGCCATACAGCCCTTCTTGAGGCTAGTGTCAATGCCATACTTTTTGACAGCATTTTTGTAATATCCTCCGAGCAAAACTCATTAGCAATCTTACATTCTTTCAGGCTTTCCACCAAGTTTTCTCGGTGCACTTCATTCTTTCAGGCTTTCCACAAAGTTTTCTCGATGTACTTCCCTCTCAATATCCTCAAGGTTTTCCAGACAGACCTTGAGAGCTCTGGATAAAGTAGCCAAGGCTACTGCCGGGTGTAGAGCTGAACCTTAAGACAAATAAGCTTTTATCAAGTCTGCGTCTAAACGTTTCTCCATCGGCTCTCTCAGGTATGCCATAGACTCGATTAGCAAGGTAGTTCTTCTGTACATCCTGGAGATTTTATACTTCAGAGTGGATTTTTTTCTCTAGTTTGTTCCATTCTTGAAATATCACATCTTTGATTGCCGAACGGACTGGAAAAGTGGGTGTAGTTGATTTCAAGTCTTCAAAATATCTGTCTGCTTCCTGTGAATCAAGTCTTTCTTCCAGCAGTTTCAAGGTGTTCCTCAGGAGCATGATCAGCTTGTCAATAGACCTAGCATATAAGGATTTAGGAGAATCCGTAAACTCCAAAACATCTGAGTCTTCTTCTAATTCTGATGACTGGTGTTCAGTTCTAGATCTTTTGCAGGACAGTCTTTTCTCAGTTGTAGTTCTAAAACCCTCGGCTATAGCTTGGGATATCCACATCTCTTCCTGAGGGGATCTCATTCTGCAAGATTCTTCTACTACTTCCATTAGGCATAATCTACACAAGTGTTTCCCTTCAGGAGCAGAGAAGTTTAAATTTATTCATCTATTGGCTTTTTCTTTGCACTTCCTGGGTAGAGTGTCATAAGTTTTTCTGGGCCTGAAATAGAAGGCCACAAATATAAATTTTATTAGCCCAATTTTGCACTCTTTTGAGAACCCCCTTATGAAAAAAGTATTTGGCTCACCTATGTTTTCTTGAGTCTGATCTTCTAGAGGTAGAGGGAGAAGCCATACTATAAAGCAACATGCTAAAATAAGAATCTTTTAAAGTATTCCTATTATAACTTACAAGACTTAAGATCAGAAAGAAATTGAGCTCACAATACCTGAAAAAGTTGATATCAATGCCCAGGGCAGGACACCCACAAGAAAACCAAGCTGGGAACAGTCTCTGAGGTACACAGGAAATGTCTGCAGAAATTCCTTGCCAAAATTAGCAATTTAAAATTTTGGCACAATATTCCTTTAAATGCCAGGATCCGTGCATGCATAATGCGCTAAAACGAACTCTATGCGTTCCAGCATAGGAATGATCACGTCATAATCCCGCAACCCGTCGGAAAGCCGAGCTACTGCAGCCGCGCCCCCTTGGCTCCACTCAGGGAAAAAGAATATCGAACTCATAGAG